GTAGTGTCCTAATGGTCACATGATTATGATTTGGCTGCTTGGATTCACAATGCATTTATAACTGTTGCAGCATCCTCTGATCACACAGTCACAATGCATGACCTTCTCAGCCAGCTTCCAACAAGCAAAGTCAATGGGGAAGCCAGAGAGATGTTGCAAGTCAAGGTCACATGACATCATGCTTAACTACCATTAATGAATTGCTTAACAATTGTGACAGGAACTGATATTGGATGTGGTCATGTGACATTTTACTTTATGACTACCTCACTTAACAGCAGAATTGCCAGTCCCAGTTGCTGTCAGTAAGTGAAGACTATCTGTACTGTTTTCCCTAGGCTGGAGTTTATCAACCTCATCAACTTTAAGACATTTGGACTTCAATGCTTGAAATTCCCCAGCCAGAATGAAGTCCCTTGTCTTAAAATTGCTGAGCTTGAGTAGGTATTTGTCTAGGTATTTAAAAGGTGCACATAGGGGTCCCTCTCCCTTTTCTCCTTATAGTAATTCCATGGAGCAGATGGCAGACAATGACACCTGCTGAGCAGTGTGCCTGATTGAGGACTTGAATTTGGTTCTCCCTAGACTCAGTTCAACACTTGATCCATCCAGTTAGGAAGTGACTTATAGCTCATTCTCTTACTTGTCAAAACCACTGTGTTTCCAGAAAATAAGACCCTGTCTTATTTTTTTTTTGAACCCCGAAATAAGTGCTTGGCCTTATTTTCGGGGAGGTGTTATTATTTTGGGGCATGGAGCAAGACAGGGCTCCTCTTGCCATCTTACCTGATTTCCAGCTCTGTCTCCCTAATTCTAACCAGAGGAAATGGCGGGAACTGGCTGTGCATGCGGTTAAATATTTTCGGGGAGGGCTTATTTTTGGGGGAGGGCTTATTTTTGGGGGAGGGCTTATTATCAGGGGATGTCTTATTTTTTGGGAAACACGGTACATTTGTCCTTGTTGAACTACTTTTGCTTTAGGGTCATGACTACTATTTGTTGGCATTCTATCCAGGCCCTATAAAATGGAAAAAATATCTACTATAGTTTGCTCTGAAAGATGAAAAGAAAGAGAAGGACTCGATTGAAGCTGTAATGGTGCAGCTTTAGAAGAGCTGATGGAGCAGGCTGGGAACAGATCATGTTGATACTGGATTGATGGCATATAATCAATATTTTATATTAGAATTATATACAAGAAAGAGTATTTAAGATTCTTCAGGTAAGGTTCTATGGAGGTCTAGACTTTGGGGATGACATTGTGGTGGAGCTTGGTGGTCAGATGATGAATTCTGGCTGGCACAGTCTCTCCAGACAAGGAAAAATTGTGAGATCATCCACTTGAACTCTGGACAGTTGCTCCTCATCAAGAAACTGCAGGAACCAAGGTTTTTGCAGTTGACTTATGAGTTGAGGGGCTGGAGGTTGAGGGATTTTAATCAAGCTGAAAGCCATAATGCATCCTACATGTACACAAGCTTTGTAAAAGCCTCATTTTCTTAATCACTATCAGATATAATCAATTTACAGTTAAAGATAGATTTTCTGAGTGGCAGGACAAGAGAAATCCATTTAGTAAGTCAACATTATTTCTAAATTAAAGTAAAAAAAAAGGATTTAACGGATTTAAATTTCATCCTAATGCTTAAAAAGAATTGCATGTAAGAAAGTTTAAAATGAATAATAGGGTACAGTAAGTTTGAAAGATTAAATTTTGGTGAAAGTGCTTTTTGAAATATTAGAATTAAAGAGTGAAATGGACCTGAACTTTGTAGGAATTGCCAAATTACCAAAAGTTTTTTTAAAGTTGATATACAAATTAGGGCTTGCTGACATATGGAGACATTAAAATGGCAATTCAAGAGAGTATACGTATTCTTCTGACAGACATGTCTTTTTCAAGAATAGATATGATTTGGATTTCAAATGATGTAAAAGTTCATAAAGTAAAGACATTATCAAAGACTTTTCATATAAACCAGTAAATTGGTTTATAAAAAGAAACTTAGTTCTTTCAGATGGAGGTTAAATCAAATGTTGTTACAGAAAGAAGCAATAGTGGAAGACTGTAAAAAGAAATTAAAAGAGTTCTTTGAAAATAATTTAGATAAAAGTACTGACATAAGAATGGTTTGGGATGCAAGTAAAGCTTTCATTAGAGGTTATTTCATACAACATATCAGAGAGCTCAAAAATACAAGAGAAGAGACACACTATTTTGGATGAGATTAAAAGAAAAGAAGACTTAAGAAGAATTTCCAGAGAAGTATTTCTCAACAAATTAAGCTTTTACAATGACGGTTATCTATGTTAATTATAAGAGAAATGGAAATAAAATGAACTAGGCAAAGTAAAACAAAAACAAAACATTTGAATCCACAAACAAACTAGGGAAATGGTTGGTATATACATTATGAAAAGAAAAAGAAAATTATATGGAAATTACAAAGGAGAGTTAGAATATTAACAGATAATCTGGTTATGGAAAAAAACATTTTATCAATGTTAGTTCAAATTGTACAGTATAAGCATAGTTTATTGAATAGCCCGAAGGCCTTTTCAAACAAAACAGAAAAGAAAAAGGGAAAAAGATAAAACAGTTACAAAAATAGCAATCTAAAAATATATGATAGATGACATTAAAATTTTACAATATCAAATTTCAATAGCTAAGTTGCCAAGACTAGATAACCCAAATAGGATAGCTCCTCTCTAACTGAGCTCATCTTCCTTACAATCGATAATTTTTTTTATATATATAACTGGCTCGTAGTGCCGTCATTCTTTTAAAGTATCGAGTGATCGCTCTTACCAGGGGAGGAGAGTCAGCCCTCAACAGAAATGCTAATTTTTGGCTTATATTCCAGTGGGGAAATTTATTTATAATTGGGGACAGATATTGTTTTCTTACTTCTTGATAGAGACTACATTCGAATATTATATGCGCCGTGTCAGTATAAGCAATTTCTCTGGAGAAAATGGATGTATGCTTAAAGAAACAAAATCTATCAAGGATTACACAGGAACAGAAACAGACTATGAATGGATTTATAACAGTAAGAGATGTTTGCAAAGCTATAAAAAGATTAAAACAGGAAAGTGCCTAGACCAGATGGATTACCAGGATCTTATTATAAATGTTTTGAGGATGGACTTTCACAACCTTTACAAAATACACTGAATTCTATTTTAGAGAGAAGTCAGAGAGCTGGAAAAAAGCCAACATAGCATAAATAAGTAAGAAGAACAAGATTCGAGTTTAACGAGAAACTGTCAGCCTATATCATTATTGAATAATGACTGTAAAATGTTTACGATGATTTTGACTGAGAGGTTGAAAATAATCTTGCAAGAACTTATTCATAAGGATCAATGCTGGTTTTTGCCTAAAAGACCATTAAAGGATGATATGAGAAATGTGTTGGGCATTTTGGAATATTGAGAGCAATATAACAAAAACATTCTGCATTGATTTTCTTAGATGCAGAGAAGGCCTTTGACAATTTAAATTGGGCCTTCCTATCAAGGTTTGCCAAGATATAAATTTTAGAGAGATTTTTATTAAATGGATAAGATCAGTTTACAGTTTACTCAAGGCACAAGTAATTGTTAACAGAAATCTAACAAACCCTTGTGAGATACAAAAAGGGAGAACATAAGGATGCATAATGACTTTTCACCCCCAAAGAAGGAAAAACAAAGAATTAACTATAACTGTTTTTCACCTGACTGGAGAAGTTGTCTCTCTCTGACAAGGAGGAAGAGGAGGAAATATTTCCTGTTTTTTCTTATCTTCCTGACACATAATTTTAAAAAAAGGGAAGTTATTACAAAGCAGCTGCTAGTTAGATAAAGAAAAAAAAAGCAGAAAAAGTTTTCTCCTTACCAAGTACAGAAATCAGAATGTAAGATACAACTTTCAATTTGGAAAAAGCAGAGTTTGTAAATTTAATTCATTGCCATAACAACTGAAAGTTCTAGGCAGTCATTTGTTGCAATTGCCTTAAAATGGATCCTTCCAAAGAGCAGAAAATCAGATTTGACAGACTTCCAAGTCTGTGATTCTATCATTATGCATCAAAGTCTGAATAAATCTGGAGGCAGATAAGACTTTCTTCTTGTGCTTTAAATAGATACTTTGAATTACAACATTGGTTGATGCATATCTTCCCTTCAGTTTTTCCATTTTTTTCTTGGTTTGTTCTATGGAAATACTGTTCCAGTTTTGCTCATCTTCCCCATCACCTCTGATAATCTTAAATATAGTGGAGATGGCTTTGAAGATCTATTCCACATCCCCTGAGCCATTCCAGAATTTTGGAAAAGCCACATGACAATCCATTTTCCTCTCCAATAGAACTCAGTGGAGCAAAATCAGATGGTTTTTACCCTCCTTTTTAATTTCCAAGGCATGTCACAATGGATCAACATTTTCCCAGAAGCAATTTGATATCCAATTCTCTAGCAAAATTAATGAGCTGATTAAAATCATACTCTAAACATAACATTTAATCTTTTTTCCTAGAAAATTAAGGTAAATTAATTTTATGTATTACCAGATGTGTTATACAAACAATGTATAGTATTAATGACTTTCTTCTCCCAAAGAAGGAAAAATGAAGAATTAACTATAACTTTCTAAGATAATATTTCCTATTTTTCTCATAAATGGATCTCTGAAATTGAGGACTTCTTTCTGAGGGTGCCTTTTTTAGCAATAACCTCTGAATAGCCTTATATCAAGATAAACACCTTTAGATAATCAAGCTGTAAGCGGTTTAAAGGCATTAAGATTTTGAATCAGGATTTTTAACCACACCTTTATCTGATAAGGGATGCACATCTCTCTCTATGGGTATTATACTATCCCCACAATGTGCTCAGAGTGTATAATTGACTTTTGCATTTTGGAGTTCGTAAAATTTCCAGACATTCCTCAAGGTAGCTTCCTACAGAGAACATTTCAATATCTAATTATGATGTAACACATTAATCTTAGGAAATTGCTTAATATGACACCTTTAATGGAATATGCAATTCTACACCTTTATCGTCTTTCTTTCTTCCTGTGGAGATAAAAAAATGTATAAATGTACAACTATAAAAAATACCTTCAGGATTGCTGCTAGGAAACTTCTAACCCCATGAAAAATCGACCTGGTGAATTTTATTAGATCTGGAATAACCCAATCTTGGTTGTATTTATGACCTGCTTTTATAGCTTGATTCATATTTACAACAGCTGAGACCCCTGTCCTCTTATAATGTGGCAGGTCATAATACAGTTGATGAGTGGAACGTATTGATTTTTTTCTTAAAGTTTACTATATTTTTTTCCTCCTTTCAGTATATGAGGTATAATCCCAGTATCTAGGAGTATGGAAATATTTTATGAAGGAGATAACAACAATTTGCAGTTCCACCTCTTTCATAGATTCATGTGACATCTGAAACCAAATATATAACCTGGCACTCTTTGAAAGCAGGAATAAGGTCAACTTTTCATGGGGACAGCCAGTGCCATTCTCATTTTATTGAGAGGAATAATAGCCATAAACTGGTGAGCTGGCTGAGAGCATAGCAAGCTTGGGCTTAGATGCCTCCCCTTCTCTGCCCCTCCCCCATAGTACACCTTCATCCCTCATTATGACTGAATAAATGAATTGGAAATTTTTTAAAAAACTGCTGTTCCAAACATGCAGCTTTGAAAGTTAGGGTCACCAACATGAGTAGGTTTCAGTGGAAATCTGTTAAGGATGGAAGTGCTAATGGAAATATACCATTATTTCTCCTTCAGAAAACTAATAAGTAGGAATGTGTTCCATGTTGCCTGTGTTCCTTTTATGTTCTCTCCTCAGTGTCTTTTTCTCATCCTCTTCTCACCTCCTCTTTAACTGTAACCCAGCAGTGAAATCTACCACTACCAGTAGCATTAAAAGAGAGAATACTGGAACATCCCTTGCTATCTTCATTTGTGCACATCAAATGTCTCAAATTCTGCCACAAGGAGAGAGCAGAATATATCATAAATGAAACAGACAAAATGTTAAAAAGTTATGATATTTATATAGTTACTTACCAAGCACATCTAAATTATATTAAAGTGACCAAAATATCTTTACAATCCCCGAGGCATGACACAACTTAAGAGCACCACTAATGTTTAGAAATTGAAAGTTGAAAAATTTGACACGCCCTAAGTTCTTTGCTCCAGTTTTTGATCAGAAATTAATCATTAATCATGGTTTCTTGTGAGGTAGTTTCTTCATTTCTTCCCAGTTATCCAATATTCTGTCAGCCTCTCCTTTTGTCTATTTGTCTGTTTACTGTCACTAGGATTATCCTTTTAGTTCTTCTTGTCTTATTTAAAGTCCATAAAGACGCCAGGGGGCAGTATATGTAGATAATAATACAGGTAGTCCTCGATTTATGACCACAAATTGAACCCAAAATTTCTGTTGCTAAGCGAGACCCAATACTGTAATCTCATAAATAGGGACCTGTTGACAGGCATCCAAATTTTGATCTTGTCGCCATGGGGATGCTGCAACAATTGTAAGTGTGAAAAATGGTCATAAACCAGTTTTTTCAATGCCATTGTAATTTTGAACAGACATTAAATGAAAAGCTATAATTCAAGGACTACCTGTAATAAAAAATCTCTGCAATTTTGCATTAGTAATACAGAAAGTAGGTGCAACTCACAAATACTCATTATGATATTATTTATAATAAAATAACACTTCAAGATGACACTTCATTGCTGCAATGATGAGTCTTTAGAGTGGGAGGAAGATATAGATTACAACTGCCAAACACCTGTATCTCTCACAAACCATATTTCTAAATAGAAATCTCTTTGTGTGATTGAGAATCTTTCAGCACCCCAGATCAATTCATTTCTAATTTATGCTTTATAATTACTTCAGTGACCTTTTCAGATCAGAGTGGTGGTATTTGCCTTTAGAAATCACTGTATTCTTTCCCAAATTACCTTTTTAAAGTTTTGGATCAAATTACTTGTATCAAAATATATTTCATTTTAATTGAGTCTATTGGTAGGAACTAATAGAAATGGTTGGGATGAGTCATGAGGAAAAACTGCAGTGGCATCATGATTATGCATTAAAAAGATATTTTAAGGCATTACCGCTTTTCTTTCTTTAATATTTGCCATATATTCTACAATATAATGATTTGAAGAAAGTTGTCTCACCAAGAGTCTTGGAGCATACATCAGTGCATTCTTCCTTCTCATACCATTTGATAAAAATACTCAATGTTTTGCTAATGATACCATTTAAGTAAAGCATAAAGCATAATTTATTTATTCGAAGGACTTCAAAACAACACAAAGAAGTTAAAAATACAGACCATATTAGTCAATACTGCAGTTGAATTTGCAATAATAAAATTATTGAAGAACTTAAATACTACCTATCAAAATGGAAAGCAAATCCAAGTATAGATGTATCTTTTTCTATCTGTTGTAACAAAACCAGAACAGAAATAAATGTTAGATTGAAATTCTATGGAGATTCTCAATCAACCAAGACATGGTTGCCCCAAAGGTGTTTTTTTTCCCCCAAGAGGCAATTAAACTTTCTTTGTTTTTTCTTGAAGATGTTTTTCACTTCTCATTCAAGAAGCTTCTTCAGTTCTGTCTGAGAAGTGAAATGTTTTTAAGGAAAAACAAAGAAAGTCTCTTGAAAAAGCATCTTTGGATTAGATTGGAAGCCCTGCAACAATCTTACATCTTTGTCTTTGAGAAAATATAGTAGACATTCTCCATTTAATAATTAATTTTCAGAGCATAAAGATTATTTCACAATTACTGCATTTTCAAGCATTGTTGAATTTATTATTTAGTGTATGATATAATTGTTCAATTATATTGCATTATATATATATTCGCCGTGGATGGCATCACACCTTGCCATTACATGTATGGGCCCCTTACTGCATTTGACTTGATCCCAGGCATGTTTAGCACAAGTCCTTGAGTCCCATTTACGATTCCAAAGGTCAAAGACAATATCTTAAATTTTAAAACATCAATAGGAAACCAATACTCTGTCAAGGTCAGAATTATAGTATATGACTTTTGATAGCTACCGGTAATACTGTCAACAAGTTGGCAACTGATTTTGCAGTTTAGTGTAGTTTCTGGATTATTTTCAAGGCAACATCATATTGAGTGCATTGCAATAATCCAAATAAGATCATAGGTCAATGTAACCAAGCTATCTTGATGGCTATGAACTACCCAAGCCGTACAAGGTGATTTGAATTCACACAGAATTTTGTCACAAGTGTTTTGTATCCGTGCAATATTTAAGTGCAAACATTTTTTCTTCCCTTTAAATAACCTTGTTTCCTTAAGCATATTTTGAAATGTATAAACTTGCTTCTATTTCACGCAATTAAGGACTACCTGAGTCATTCATTTTATGATCCTTGTATGATTAATTCTCTTTTAAATCAATTGAAGTATATATTTTTATTGTAGACAAAATAGATTACTTTGCTTAGGAGAGTATTGACCTATGCCAAGAATAAGGGATGGAAAATAACCACCTAAAGAGCTGTTGCTGTTTAGTATATATAAAACTGCACCCAAGCACTGAAGAAAGCAAACACGGAGTTATGTCTGATAGCAATAGCAATAGCATTTAGTTTATAAACATGCTCTCTGGGTGGTTTACAATGTAGAAACACTATTTGCATATTTCCCCAAACAATCGGGGTTCTCATTGTACAGATCTTGGAAGGTTGCTTCAACCTTGAGCACTGTCAGGATCAGTCTCCAGACTGTGGGCAGAGTTTGCCTGAAATACTGCATTTTAATCAACTGTAACTACCAGGTTTGATCCCAAACATACTTTTTCAAGATGCAACTGGACTTTTTTGTTTGTTTGTTTGTTTTTCCTTGATTATGTTTCACTTCTCACCCAAGACATTTTTCAGTTCTTGGATGAGAAGCAAAAAGTCTTCAAGGGAGAACAAAGGAAATCCAGTTGTCTCTTCAAAAAGCACCTTTGGGACAACCATGACCTGGATGACTGAGAATCTCCATAGGCGTCAGGTTTGTTGAACTGGGGGTACAATTTTAACTGGTAGTGAGTGAAACCAACCCACCAATAGGCTAAGAATTCAGAAGAAACTTTGATCTGATGTAACCTTATATCCTTGCTTATATTCGCCAAGTCATCTTCTGGTCAAGAGAATACCCTCCAACCAACTTTCAACCCAATGAACAAGCCTTTGAATATACAACATGTATAGATCTTGGAAAAAAGGCTCAGATAGATACCTTGCTTGAGAGAAATACTACATAGAATCCTCAGAAAATATTTATGCCCCAATAGCATCCTGCCAAGTGAGCGGTGCCAAAATTTTCAGACCCTGGTTGAAGAGACACATTTTACCTTTCATCCTTCCCACTCCATTAAAATGGACCAAATTTTATTTGGCAGGGTTTTAATAAGCAAAAAAATAATAATAATCCTCAAAAGATACCATTGTCCCCTCTGCCAAAAATTAAAAACAATTAAAAAATAAAAGTCTAGTCCTGCCGTAATTCAATCTCTTCAACCTGAAGATGTCCACAAGGCTCATTAGTGAGTTATTATGAGCTATTTTTCCCTGTGATTCTGTAGGTTTTGGAGACCTACATAGTTACATCATCCCTTCTGACAATGCATCATTTCTATATCAGATTAGTATGGAGAATATATAAACAATTCACAAACACTTTTGTTTAGAGAAATTTAGGGCAGCCACAGTTTTCACTTTCCTCAAAACTCATGGACTAATTCAAAGCACCCCATCCACTTGTCCACACCATGACCATTTTTGTTACATTGTGAAGTGCTTTTACAGAGAAGAACCCCAATAGCCAGCACACTCCAGCTTCTATCCTTATCCTAATTTCATATTGCCTCGGTGGTGCAGTGGTTAGAGTGCAGTACTGAAGGCTACTTCTGCTGACTGCCAGCTGCCTACAATTTGGCAGATCAAATCCCACCAAGCTTAAGGTTGACTCATCCTTCCATCCTTCCGAGGTTGGTAAAATGAGGAGCCAAATTGTTGGGGGCAATATGCTGACTGTGAAACTGCTTAGAAAGGGCTGTAAAGCACTCTAAAGCGGTATATATCTAAGTGCTATTGCTAAGTGCTATTTTGTAACAACTGAAATAACAATAACTGGCTACTGGAAGAAGAGTTTGAAAGATGCTGCCTTACTCATTTCAGAAAAGACTAGTGATGGGATTGCTTAAATACCGGTGAGAATAAGATCAAAAAGACTACCCCCTTATTTCTAGTCTTTTTCAAATAGGGCGAGTGTTTCCTTCCATAAGAAACTGTTTACCTCTAACCTCCAGTATTATCTAATGTTTAACTTTCAAGAACCGATGGGACCACTCACTTAGTATGGTGTCTTCGTCATGCCAGTCAGAGACAGTATTTGGTTTGCAGATATATGCTATGCACTGGTGGGTTTCAAAAATTTTACTACTGGTTCTGTGGGTGTGGCTTGGTGGGCGTGGCAGGGGAAGGATACTGTAAAATCTCCATTCCCACCCCACTCTGGGGGAAGGATGGTGTTACGTCCGGATGGCAAGCCCGTGTGGCCAATAGAGCAATGGATTGGTCCATGTGCCAGCAACCAGCCGGTGGGAAATTGGCGGCTCCTGATTGGCCCAGCTATTGACAGCTCAGTATAAAAGAGCTGTCAGTGCCTCAAAACGCTGCTCGCTCTCCAAGGTAGTTAGCTAAGCAGAGCGAGTCACTGTTAGCTTTTATTGTTAGCCAATAAACAGTTGTGAAGTGTTTATCCTGCCTCGCCTCCCTTCTTGAGCCTTGGTTCAGCGAATAGAACAGATACTGCAAAATCTCCATTCTCTCCCCCAATCCAGGGGAAGGTTCCTGCAAAATCTCCATTTCCTCCCGATCAGCTGGAACTTGGGAGGCAGAGAATAGATGGGGGCGGGGCCAGTCAGAATTTTTACTACTGGTTCTCTGAACTATTCAAAATGTCCGCTACTGGTTCTCCAGAACTGTTCAGAACCTGCTGAACCCCATTTCTGATGCTATGGTCTGGGAAAGAAGTTTGACTAACACCTAAATACATGTTGCTCTTGAGAAAGCAAGTTTTCTTTCCTTTATATATTCCTGTAGCATTTCTATGGCAACCAGTATATGAACTACCAAACATTTCCAGACCTTGGAGAAAGAGAATGTCTCATTGTCTTCTCAGCAGAAAGACGCTTCCATTTGCTACTTGACAGTGAATTTGTATTTTTCGGAATACCTGGATCTTCAGATATCACATACACTTCTTGTCAGAAAAGACACTATGATTACTCAGTAGTTCGTTTAAACTCTTTTAAATTCTCCCTTCCTCATATTATTTCTTTTCTCCTGTCTAGTTTGTGTCATACAGTGCTTTGACTTAGCATACTCTTCCTTTGCTCAATTGCTCAGTTAAATTTTCTATTTACTCTTTGTATTCCTGCCATCCAGGAATGGTAATGCTTTTAAAATTTACTTCTGCAAAAGGTCACACAGCGGTAGTAATATGACAGCTTTCTTTTAATCCATGCTTAAAATTTAAGTAGCAGATTAAGTAGGAAATTTAAGTTTGCATTATCTCTCTACAGAAGAGCAAAAGGGACATCTTACATCCCTCAAGATTTTTATAAGATACTACATTTTATTGCTTATGTGATTTATGTAATATAAACAGTCTTTCTTTCCACTCCTCCTGTTCATCACTTTTTAATCTTTTTGTTCATTTCAAACCCATGAAATGTTTGGAAAAATATGTGTTTGCCTCATAACAAAATGCATACTATTTGTTGTGCATATTTCAACACCCAGAAAATAAATAACTTTATAAACACTCATAAACAATGAGATTCCTTTCTTTTTCACACTTCTCTCATTCTGAACCCAACATTATTTTTGGAGTCAGTGACAATCAGTAGTAGTAGTAATAGTAGTAGTAGTAATAGTAATTTACCTCCCTTTGGATGAAGCTTGGTGTATAGGTAGCTGATGAAACCATTTTTTTTATTTAGAAATAACAAAACATTAACAACTGCCTCAAGGATTACCTGAAACCAGAATAGTCAAAGTTCTTCAATTTTAGTGTCCTACAAGATCATACCACTGCTGCTAGTTGAAAAGGAGCAGGGGACCAAATTCATAACTACCATACTAACTCTTACCCTTTCTGCACATAGATATTTTGCAACATACTGCTTAGAAATGCATTGTATATGGGAAAGCTTCTGAAAATTGTATAGAAATTCTGATGGTACATTAGCAAACCAGTGACTGTTACTTACAATTTTAAAACAGCTAGTGCTAGTTTATGTTTTGTTTCCTGATGGAATTCAAAGTGTGAGTCTTCCTTTCTTAAAAAAAAAAAAGTTGTAAAGTTGAGATGCTTCCACAAATTGAGATCCTATAAAACATATCTCCGAGAGATGAAGCACATTGTGATTTAAGATATGCCTAATGTGGTAATGGTGTTCATATGTTAATTGGCTTGTTCCTTTCGATGAGGAACATCCATTTTTCTTTTAGGTGTTAATGAGCTGTTTTATCTTCTCTGCTTCTGCCTTTATCACACATAAATATCTACTTATCTGATAATATCAGTATAAATGCATTTTATAATTTTTTAAAAAAATGAATGGAAATTGAATTTATGTTGGGTACAAATACCTTCAATTAATGATTATGAGCAGCTAAGTTTCAGGAAGTTAAGCATCTTAGACTGTGAAGTGATTCCACTGATTTATCTGCTTTGGTGAGAAAGGAAGTAAAAGCTGACATTTTTCTCTCTTCATTTTGGGTGCGGATCAATCAGTGCTGTGACATTCTCATTTTATCTGCATGCCATTTTATTCCCAGGAATAGAAACTCAACCCAAAATAACTCTTCTTAAATATTTTATCATGGATCAGGGTCTCTCCCTCCATCCCTTCCTCCCCGCCACTCTCTCTATCTCTTTCTTTTACCATCCTTCATATTCAAAGCTACAGAGTTGCTCTGGGGTATATGAGGAGGATACACAGCTAACATCTATCTATTAGTTAATAGTCAATAGATTATGACGTAATACAAAATGTCATGAATCACTTTCTATGCTGCCATTTGACTGCACTATATAGTATCACTCAATAGGGGCTATCTCTGAGTGTATGCCCAGCTTTTCAAGTGAAGGCATCACATTGGGAGCTTCATCCTTGTTGGAGGTGCTGAGGATCCTAGTAAGGAAACAGGTTTGGAAGGATGTTCCAGAAGATCACAGGTTGTCTCCTAGACATTTAAAATTAAGTTTACCAACAGCAGAGATCCGAGTCCATTCTTATTTGCTCAGAATGTCTTCTTCCATTGGTCTTTTGCCACCTTGGTGGGGTGAAGGGAGGGCAGCAGGAATCTCATTTCTGGAGAGATTGTGATGTCATCAACCACCCAGTATTCTGCTCTTGTAGGCCATAGAAGCATTCATGGAAATAAAGGGACTGGCATTCTGCTTTGCAGCTCGCCAGGTTTATATTACAGTTTTGTTTTCAATATTTATTTATGGCATCCAAATCAGCTGGCAAACACCTTGGTGGATTGTCTATAAAACCCTGGCTGACAATCCCTATTTTAAAGCAGATAAATTGTAGTCTGACTGTAGAATATGAAGATCTCTGTTCTGATAAAATGTTGGGGGGGAAAGCTGGGAATATCAATAGTTGAGCCTCTCATTATGTTTGCAAATTTTATTGATACAGTTGTGATCTCATATGACCTCAAAAACAAGGAACTGTAAACTGTGAGAAAACAACTAGTTAGGTTACCTTTACTGTTTGGCATTTGGGAACAACCTGAGAACATTTCCCACACACTTTACCAAGTATGTGGCACCCAAAACTTTACCTTTGGAAACTATTTTGAACTCTTTGTGCCTGTTGTGGTATGAAAAAGAAAAAAAATTCTATGGATTGAAGAACTCTTTACAGGGAACATTTATGGCCTAATATATAGATTATTATACAGACAGCTCAAGAGATCCATTGTTGCATCCCATACTTAATAGGATTTACATTTTTTAAAAAAACTTTCGAGTTAATATTTATTGTTTTAATATGTTGTTTTATTTTTATTGATTGTAAGCCACCTATAGTTGGCTCTAGGTGAGATGGATGACATATAAATTAAACAAATAGTGAAACTGAATTCTGATACACTTTTGTTGCAATGGGAAAGGGTTCAGATACACTTTTGTTGCAATGGGAAATGTAGATTGTAGTTTTAGAGGCAATTTAATTGGTGGAAATCACATGGGGAAACAAGAATGTCTCCCACGTGAATTTGGCTCACCCATCTGCTTTCATTGAAAGATTTATAAAATTCCCCTGTTCACTTACAGGATTTTGAAAAGCTTAGGACTCCTGGCATCCTATCAATTGGAAAAAAATTGGAAAACACCAAATATTTAGTTAAAACAAAAGTGAAAACTCCTGGATAGGGATGAGGAATCGGGTGCGGTCCACAAAGCTTGGACTATGTCTCCTTTGGGTATTAGAGGAGGCATATGGGAATTGTTTTTTTTAAGCACTTAGAACCTGACTACCTAAGGAAATGCACTTCAGCAGACACTGAAATCTGTAGGATAAACTCAGAAGCTGCACTGCTTTTTAAGACTGGTATGTTAGGCAGATGGAAGATGGCCTTTTCCTGCATCATTCCCAGAGTTAGGGAGGCACTCATTGCATTTGGCGACCACTGTCTTTATAAAATACAAGGTTTTTTTTTTTTGTTTTTTTTTAAAAACGCACTTATTTTTTATTCTGATCTTTAGGGGCCAATGGTTGTATTGTTTGGATTTTAATTTTTAATTTACTAATCGCATTTTTCATAATTGTAACTATTCATTTGGTTCCTTTGGGACAGGTACATTATTTATTTGCTTATATGTTTATGCTACTTTAAATTATAAATTGCCCTGGCTGTTCAACAGTTGTCCTACAGAATCATTCAGATTAGAGGAACTGGAGGGCAAATACATTTAGAATAGTATTTGCTGTTCTGGATACTGTACTGTCCCTCAAAACCTACATTCTGATTTTCCCAAAAAAGTGTTAATGCTATTCCACATTCTCACAAATTACTTTATCTTCTACCTGCCAATCGTCACTATTTGGTGATACAGTAGAAGGCAATTTCAAGGGAAGAATGAGAAACACCATGAAGAGTGATCTAGAAGAGGTAGGAGAGAATCTTTTGTTCATGGGCCACATTAAATGCTATTGATGGGCCATACAGAAATTTGCCAGGCTGGCTAGCTGGCTGGCTGGCAGGCAGGCAGGCAGACTGACAGACTGACAGACCGACAGACCGACAGACCGACAGACCGACAGACCAACCAACCATCCATATACATTTTTTTTAATCCAGGGGGCTCCCTGAGATTTGAAAATTATTTCAAGGGTTCTTCCAGGTAAAAAGGTTGAGAAAGGTTGATTTAGAGAGAGAGAGAAATTCAACTGCTATTGGTTGTTCATAAGATTAGAAACATTTGAATGTAGATATTACAAGAGCTAGAATACAAAAGCTGTGTCTGAGGAATAAGAAGTAAAAATGATGTGAAGATTGTTACAAGGCCTCTTGCAAAAAGGTAAAATCTAAGATTTTTTTTTTTTTTAGTCTTGCATTTCAGAGAAATGCTATTGAGAGATATTAGTTTTACCTGGGAAGATTCACAAGAGTTGCAAAAAAGTATTGGACAGCTTTTCTGACTACATATAGAATAAAATGGGTCTTTTAATAACATTCGCCAGTCAAAAACGGTGGTACCAGATTGCTATTAAAAAAGAAATAAATTTTATCTGAAAGAGATGAGTTGGATGACCAAGAGGCTGTTTAGGATGGATAGCTGAATTGGAAGCCAAGTGTGAAGTATGTAAATGGGCACTGTGACTGTTGTAGATGCCTGCTGTTGCAAAATATCTGAATTTTGATCTCACGACTATGGTGACATTGCAATGATTGTAAATATGAGGATGAGTTGTAAAGTTATATTTTCAGTGCCATTGTAACTTCGAACATTCTCTGAACAGGGCAAATGTTAAACGAGGACTATTTGTACTTAAATTTGCTATTATATTGATAGAGAGACAGTTCAACAACAGAAAGTGAATATTGTATCAGGAGACCAAAATTATCAGTCCGAGATCACATTCTCTTTTCAGCATTGAAAACTAATCTTTTTATGCTGCCTTTCCCATGCTCAATAAGTCCAGAATTCTTTATATAGTGATTTGTTGCAAATATCTGACATAGAATTCAACTGTACATTAATATATTTAAAATGTGATGATCTTTTAAAACCAGATATTAACAAACTTATTGATTTTAAACCAAACCATGATAATAAAGGAACAAGTCCATATACTGTATGATCAAATGTCCCTTCAAGTTCATTTGAAGCTCAAATAAAGGGAGAGAGTTTTATTCTCTCTCTCTCTTAATAACTTTGGGCCCATGATAAATTAAGTGCAAGACCGCCCCCCCCCAGCCAGGGATTAGATTAAAAAATATGTTTATCAATTAAGTGATAAAGCAGTAAAAAACAAAGATATTTCTACTTATTTTAGGAATGATCCAAGTTATACATTCAACCAGAAAACCAGCTTTCTTTTCACTAGTGGTTCTCCTGCCATCAATCCATTGCAAATTAAAACTCCCGATCTGTTCCCAAAAGAATCTGTGCCAAAAATCCTTCAGCTTTCTTCTAGATATTTGTACTGAACAAAATATATGCATGAACATATATTGTAGAGGATTCAGGCCAAGAAAAAGAACAATGACAATAATATAATGCAATATAATTATATTATTAAATGCAATTTACTGAACTATAAATTGCTATGTGGAACCTCTGTTTCAAATCGGCTTCTATTTAATTGTGGACCAATATCTCAGTATGTTGGGAAGCACCTAGCCTGGCAGACAGGAGAGATCAAGTGCAGGGCTAGCCTGGACTCACTGTGCAACTACAAAAAGGCTAGGGCTGACTCCCTCCCAAGTTCCTTGGAGCCTTATCTAATTGCTCCCAAAAGGAGGCTGGCAGACTGGAGAGATTCCTGTATTGTAGGCAGAACATAATGAAGTAGTTAGCTTGAATTCTGTACGGGCAAGTCTTCTTGTTCGCACCTGGCATCCTTTGTCATGTTACAGCTATGTTAATTGTTAATTAACTATGTTATACATAGCTACATTAAATATTAATTGGCAGAACAGTGAATTGTCCTACTATAAATAACTTCAGTGAAGCAAATTTTAAAAACATGATATAAAGTTAGCAGCAATAAAATGCAGATAATTGACATGGTGAACAGGTTCTTCTTTTTTTTAATGAAGAAAGACACCATTTTAATAAAAATCCACATCTTTTTGCAGACAAATACTTCATTGGTGTTTATTCTGTCTATCTTGTATAAAGGTTTTAAGTGACTCCGGATCTCCTACTTTAATTATGTATTTTCCCACAAAGTTCTTGTGAAATGTATCTAATAAAACCACTAGAAAGGACAGCTGGTTCATGAAATGTCAGAAACCAAGAGTAATGCTGTGAATTTCATAAACCCTTTCAGACTGTCTCCTAAGACCACTCACTGCCTAACAAGGTGCACATTTTACTGTACATAATCTGTCTCCAACCCACAACTGTTGTTCTAGGGAACTCATAAATGATGGGAACTTAACTTTCTCTGAGATCTA